CCTAGCCTTTTATATTAGGGTGGTAAAGGTAAGAATTTTTTACAATGGTGCCTTCTGCTAGACCTTCTTCCTTCCATGCATATCTTGTTCTAATTTGCAGATTGTCTTAACTTCTTTTCTCTGTTGTTTCCTTCCAACTCCTTCTCCCCCAATTAATGTTATAGAATTCAGCATCCCCAATATAAAAGGCTACTCCTTTCAGCCTTGGCATTCTTTGCCAAGAAAAACCCACACAGTCTTAACAAGGGAAAGACAGAGGATGGGACACTCTTCTAAAGAGAAAAGCCAGTGACCAAAAGAAAATGAAAACCTCCAGTGATTCTTAGGCATGTGAATTAACTAAACCAGACATGATGAACTGTGCTGCATGGTGAGAGATGTGAAGAATTCTTAAGATTCGCATTGTCACTACAGTCACAGGATTGTAGGAAATCCTGAGTGCTGGGCATCTTTCAGCTCTGGGCTGAGTCTGAATTGTCTGTGACTCTTCTACTCTGGGCTCAGCAGCATATATTTTCCTGTCCTAAAGCTTTACCCCTGAAACACACATCTGTCGCAGCTCTTGCTTCGAGAGAAGATGTCTCCTGTTCCTACACGCCTCGGGTAAAGTCAGGCAATGAACAGTCATGGAAGGAGTCAAGATAGATTTGTATGCATGCTAATAGAAGTGTAAATTAAGGATTCTGACTGCATTAGTACTGAGGCAGTTCTTGATAATAGTTTTACATTTTACTTAGAAAAATTGAAAACATAAAGACAGGTTTGGTTTTCTTGCCAGCTTGCTCAGGCACTAAATTGTGATTAAAAGGTGTTTGTCACCACAGAAAAATATATGAACAGCCCTCATCATAACACACCCAGACTCTCAGGCCCAGGCAGGGAGGCGGCAATGGTGGGAGGGATGGAGGCGGACTGCTCTGGACGAGGCCCCTAAAAGCACTCCACATACACCATCCCACTCTCACATTAACAAACTCAGACGGGCAAGTCACTTCCACTCTCTGATCTCTGTTTTCTGATTTGGAAATTGAGAGGTTTAGAATAATCTCCAAGGTTGCTTGCAACTGTCATGCTCTTTGACTGTGAGATTTAGTAACATGAAGGGGGACCCCTTGGGGGCTCCTGAAGATCACTCCCAAGATCACTCCCAAACTCTGTTTCTTCTCTGGGCTTTTTCCTCTGGGCCTCCCAAATTTGTTCAAGCATCCTGTATGGTTCATTTTTCCTTTGTGACAGAACAAAGCACACTGAAGAATTTCAATATTCAGTTTTACTAGATCACAGACTGCCTTTGGGCTGCTCAGTGACTATTTTCAAAACATACCCATGACCTCCTTAACTTAGCTCATTTTTTCATTCTTGCCCCAAGTACATCTGGAATCTATGAAGTGTTATTTTTATGCTGCTCTAAGAACTATTGTCATCTTCTCTTTAATCTTGGCCCAGATGTCCTAAACCATCATTATGTCCCCGCTGGGATGATGGTTGTACTCTCTTCTGACAAGACTTCTTGGGAAACATATCAAATCATCCTCTGAAGTCTGCTCTCCAGCAGTTCCCAGAGCTGTGTGCTGTGTCTTAGAGTAAATACATTTGTAGAATTATAAAAGGTCTGCAGTAAGAGATCTAATTTAGCCCACCCACTCCCATGGGCTTAGTCTTCATCACTTTTCAAACCCAGAAACTGAGGCTCAAAAACACTGCAACGTGTCCCAGGGGAGATGAGTTGCAAAGCATGTTCTAGGTGCCAGACCAGCACCCTGCCTTTACCCACAAATGAACCAACACTTCTATCTCATTTCAAAGGCTACAAAAGCTCTATGATTATGATGTTCACTAATGGCAAAAGTTTAGCCCTGTCTTTGTAAATATGCTCTTTTTGGTCACCTCAGAGGAAGCCGTAGGCAGGAGCCGTAGGCATATTATTTGACTCCAGTATACTCCAGTTTTGTTATTTTCAAGTAGGAAAACGCACCTGGCTTCTCCCACCTCACAGGAATGTTGTGAAAGTAAGTAGAAAATAATGAGTCAGAGTCTTCCAGGCCTTAGAGTCATTCCAAGGATCATGCATTTTGCATACAGTTGTGCTTACTCTTCTGGTTTTCTGCTTGTCTAAGGCTTTCAGTAAATTTGATTCATGTATTTTTTATGTTCATGGTGATTATAAAAAGTACATTCTAAATTTTGATAAAGTTTCTGTTCCTGACTTTACAGATGATTTGAGCACCAGAAGCCTTTAAAAAAAAATTCTTCCACACACTGGAAGTAGAAATTGTGGGATGGGACTGACTATTCGCGTAGTTGTTGAAAAATGGAGTTGAAGCAGAACCAAGATTAGAATTTATAACTTGTTATATCCCAGGATTAAGATGTGGCCAATATCCAATGGAAAATCTGTAATAAATACTTATCAATGTCCTTGAAACTGAAAAGAAAGGCAAAGAATTTGGAAGGAGGTAGCATGTGAGCAAGGAGTTATGACATATTGTTAGTATGCCTTTCTAGACCTTTATAAATCTATATGTTGCTTGAACATATATTTATTAGATATTTCTTTCATGAATTCATACAATGAGTACAGTGAATTACCATTCTTCACTGTGAAGTTTCCCATTTTAATGAAACCAAAGTTGGACAGACTATAATAGGGAAGACGTTTATGCAGGCAAGCCTGTAATTATAGCACACTGCATACGGACACTCTGCACACTCTGCACCAGACAAAACACATCACAGCCACAATCCAGTAAACTCCTGGTTCTCACATGTGGTTTGCAGATACGCTGCATCAGCATCATCTCTTCTTCAAATGCCCCACTCCATACCTGCTGGACCAGAATCTGCAATTTAACATGATCCCAGGTGATTTGGTTGCTCATTAAGGTTTGAGAATCACTGACTATACAGCTTTTAATTTATTCTATCCCTTTGGTCCGTGATAGAATGTTATACTTTTGTATCTACTATGCCTAAGAAAACCATCCGTGGAACAACTGATGCTGCTGTAATCCTGTCCTTTGCGAAAAACAGTTATCCTTTACTATTTCCCACTCTTCCCAAAAGTTATTTTGCATATATTATCAGTTATACAAAATTTATAGCTTGTTTGTCTGTCATAAAGTTGATTGTTCCTGCTTTGATTTTTATGCTCAAAAGTAATTTGTAATCTTACAATTCCTAGTGTCTTGTTTTATTTAGAATACCTTTGCAAATTAATGTTTGGGAGGTAAAAGTAAGACTGTTAACCAAGAGCAAGAGTTGTTTTTTTTGCTAGTGTTCAGAACCTCGAAAGGGGGCATTCACTTTGATTCTTAATAGGAGAAATTAGTATAAAGGACATTTTTTTAAGGCAGCATAATTGAGAGTTCAACTGCCGTTAATATAGCCATTTTCATTATTTTAAGTCTATTTAATGAATTTCAGTTGTCTGAAGAATAAGTTAACTCTGCCAAATCCTGCTATTTAAAAGTCTTTGGGAGTTACACTGATTCTTTTTTCCTTCTTTCCAGTTTTTCTAATAAGCTAAGGAGAACAAACTCAGTTAATCTGCGGCATTGGCTCTGCACTTGACAAGTGTGCCCGCTTGCATTGAGATCAAGATGCACTAACTCAGGTTGTATGATAGGCAGTGTCAGGGTCCTTCCTTGGAAATGAGAAGGAGTTCATAGGCTGCTTCCTTTGGCCCCCAGAGGACTTCCATGTACTCCTGTGCCACTACAATGTAGTTACACTTTATATTGCTAAATCCTACTGGATTTCATCTAGAAAGAAAGGAAAGGTTGAAGAGACATGAATATACTAGACAGAAAGGGAACCACTTTCATTGAAAGTTGCTAAAGAGATCTGTGTCCCCTCAGTTAGGCTGTGTTTGGTTTATTGGGGCTTCTGAAGGCCCACTTTTAGAGAGGAAGTTGAAAAGAGAAATTGTCTTTGCCTTTGAATCCCTCATATGCAACCCAGGCAGGGGGGTTAGGCAGGAAAGGGAAGTCAATACTGAAGAGCACTGTCAGTCTGCAAAGGAGAAGACCAGACTCCTCAGATGCTAGGGGTTTGCCAATCCCAGTAGTCTAAGTGACCAGTGTAAGAAGGTTGGCGAGAGGGCATCTCCTGGAGGCTCCAAGAAAACAGGAGATTCAACTAGGAAAGTCACATAGGAGGAAAGGGCAGATTTACCTAGCTAGATGTCCAGTCACATGAGCTAGATCCTGGAATGAAATGGTACTAGAAGAGCCCCTGCTCAGAGCCCCTCTTTGTCTACCCCCCAGAACATAGTTATTCTCAAAAATGGCAAGGGGGTGGGAGTGTGATGGAAGATGGACCAAATTAGAATCTTCTGACAAGCTCTTATAGAATACTACTGCCCAGCCTCCCCACAGGGCATGCCACAGGCAGCACAGTTTACTAACTGAGTACTCACAGTTCGCTGTCAAGAACTTGGGTCCTGAGCCAGCCGCACTGGAGGTGGAATTCTAGCTCTTCCCTGTTACTAGCTGTGTGACCTTTGCCAAACTATTAATCCTTTCTGATCCCCATCTCCTCATCTGTAAAATGATGATGATATTAATAGTAACTCTTTCATGGGAGAAGTCAGAAGTGGAAGAAATACTCTGTGCTTAATATTTGGCATAGTATCTGTCATTAAGGAAACAGTGATAAAAAACTTTCTTTCATAACTGGAACCTAATTTTATTCAGAAGAAAATTTGGGCATTTGTCCAATTCAGAAAATTACAAGGCAAACAAAATAACTTAATTATATTTCTAGACATTAGCCTGTTTTAAGGACATTAGAATTATAGTACAGACCCAAGCTGTTTTTATTCCATTTGAAAGACTAACAGTTTAAGTTATGATGGATATAAAATGCTGTCTTCCTATTTACCAATTTCTTCCAAACACAAATGTTTTAAAAAATTTGTGATGGCAACAGATTATATGGAAATCAGAAAGCCACGTCTTTAACTGGGTCTCTTCCCTCCTCTTCGCTTTCCCAACGGGAAGAATTCCTTGACCAGGAGTGCACCCCTTCCCAACGACTCCCAGGCACGCAGCGGAGCTCGATTCCACACATCCTACGACAAAAGATACGTCATCAAGACCATTACAAGTGAAGACGTGGCTGAAATGCACAACATCCTAAAGAAATACCACCAGGTAATTTTTCTTCACCTAAGGTTAACATTCACGGCTTCTTATCATCAAGGCTAAAGACCTAAACACATAGGAAATGGTGAAAACACAGTTGATGTAAAAACGACCTCTGGCCAGGCTTTTAAAAAGTGCTGTGGCCAGATGACTGACAGTTAACATTTAGGAATGCTTAGCCTATGAAGATAATTAGTTATTTATATAACACTTTTAATATAACTCTTTTGTATAATAATTTTGATGTTTGCCATCCTAATTTTAAAGTCACTCAGCTTAGGATTTGGCAACATTTCAGAATTTTTTTGCACATGCCAGAAGTTAGGAGTTGACCTATGAGTATTCATCCATTTATACCTCCTAATTGTATACTGCTTTCACTGGTCTTTCTTCCGCCTGGCCCCAAAAAGGCCCATTCCCACTCACACTCTACTGCTAGAAAAATCTTTCATTTTCACCCCTCAGCATGCATTATTCCTTCATAATCACCTGGGGAAATAGTGAAGCTGCCCTTGGGAGCAGCACTCTCTGTCTCTCTCTCTCTCTCTCCCCCCTCCCCTTTGCCCCCTCTCTCCCACCCTCCTCTTCACTCCCTCCCTCCTCTTCACTCTCATTTTTTGGATAAATTCTAGCACAGGTTTTCCTGGTGACATGCGTAGTGCATATTCCCAGGTCCCAGCAGAGCCCTAAGAGGCTTTACTTTTAAAACTATGTAGTAAGATCATGAAGTTCACTGTCAGAGAAACCCATATTCAGATCTCAGACCTGTCACGTTGTAATCATGTCACTTCTAGTCTTTGAAGCCTCAGTGTTTTCATATTTACAATGGAGGTAATAACAACCCCTAACTATGGAGTCCTAAACATTAAACAGGGGAATGTACCTCAGATACTTAGCACAGTGCCTGCCACACTAGGTGCACAATATATGGTGGTTGTAGCTGTTATCAACTAGTCATATGACAATAGCGAGGAACAGCTATGTCATCTTGAGAAATCGTAGTCTTGTAGCATGAATATGCCCATTACTTGCCACATGGCAGCAATTATCTTCACAACTGGTGTTTGAACCACATGCTAAAACACACGCACACTTTTAGAGTCCTGCCTTTTTTTTTTTTACCTAAATATCTTCAAATTCCCCTTCAAAGATAAAGACTGGCTATCACAGAGGGTATTCAAAATAAAGTGCTACAGGCCCTAACTGCATAAACCATTGATTTTCAACCTTTTTCGCCTCATGGCACACAAATACTACAATTCTGCAGCACCCAAAAGGATGTGTTTTTTGCGAATCTCACACACAAAAAAAGATATAATTTTGATTCATTCACACCAGACAGCTGTTGTTGTGTTGACTGTTGTCATTTTTTTATTTGACAATCTAAGGAAAAAAAGGCCAGTGCCCCTGACTAAATAGTCAGGTATTGTGTGTTTTAAATATTCTTGCAGCTCACCCATTGAAAATCGCTGCTCTAACATCATGGACTATTTCTTGGTAGTTGCTTATTCTTCCAATCTTTACAAATGTGATCAATTGCATTTTGCCTGTAGTGAAGTCCATAAAAATCTTTGAGCTACATACCATTTCTGGAAACCTGGGGCTGCCCCTGATTTGTCTCCCAAATTCATTTAACATCTAACAAATCATTTATAACACTTGTTCTTTTTGAAATTTGTATTATAGCATTTATGCTGCTACATATTATGAAGGAAATTTAAGCACCACGATAGTACCTGAGAGGGAGAGAACACTAAGGCACTGGCTTCTGAGTAAGCGGAATGAAAGGATGCAGCTTTAACTAGTGATGTTTTAAACTGTCTCCTCTTTCATTTGTCCTTCTCTGAAACTTAATGTTGTACTTAAGCATTGTCTTTATTCATCTCAGAGCTTTCAAATCCAAAAAATACCCTAATGGCTGAGGAAAACATTGTGATAAATGTCTATGATACCATTCTAATAAAATGACACGCAATTCAAATGGCATCTTGATGACAACTTTGAGTTCAGAATTTTTTGACTTTGCAGAAATCACAGTTTGAAACATTTTCTCTGGGGTAGTCACTGTAATTTAACATGCAGATTTGACATATCCTCAGTATTATATGAAATATTTTGGGGATCAAAATAAGTTTATTAACATGCTGTAGAGGCTTTCAAGTGCTAAAAGTTTTCTTTCATTTCACTGTTGCAAATTAGTTGTTTTCCTGGTATGTTCTTTATGCAGAGAAATCTCATTTACCTAGCATTTATATATTTTTTGTTCTTATAAATAGTATTTCCAGTATAATTTAAAGGGTATTAGTGATTGAAAAATCACCATTGTTAATACAATTTATTTAAAGGACACTAAGTTGAAAGTCAGGGGACATAGATCCTAGTCTATTATGAACTGGTTACTTAGACCATCTCTGAACCTCAGTTTTCCCATCTATATTTCATTTCATTCATTCATTTGTATATTTACTCTTGACCTAATTCCAGAAAGGATATAAGGTGACCTTCAGGGAAGTTTGAAATATAAGAGAATAAACAGAAAAAGAAAGAAAGAGAAGGGAAGGAGATTGCGAAGACACAAAATGGAGCCTGGAGTGAACCCAAAACTCATGCCATGATGGCCAGCACGCTTCCTAGGTTGAGGGCCACTAATCTGACCCTAGTTTCTTGGCAGCCAAAGTGGAAAGCAGAACCTGAGTAAATCAGTTACATAGCTGATGTGCCTGAAGACACCAAAGAATCAGTTATTAAGGATAAATATAACTGTTCTTTGTACTAAGATCAGTCAGGGTTATTTCTAAGGCATTCCCTACAGGGAGGACACGTGATGTGATAAACCATCATCCTTGGAGCCAGCCATGTAACATACAGGAAGTTCATAGAACTTTGGAAAAACTCATCAATGTACCCATACCACCATGTAGTTTACATTTCATCCATGCAGGTGTGCAGAGAAAGGCACTGCACACTGGCTACCCAGCGCTCTGCCGGTCTATGACTCCCACTGGGTGGGATCTGAATGTTCTTCAAGCTGCCCTTCTCCTGGGCCACTTTCAAACAGAGTGTTGATGGATATTATGTGGGGATGAGCTCAGCCTTGGACAGTCTCAGATGTAGCTATTGTATGTGATCAGACATGGACCTCAACATCTGTCATCCAAGAGAGGTCCTTCCAAGCGTTGTTCTCTAATTCTATTCAGTGATGCTCAGAGGCTTTTGAGATGGGTATTAGACCTTTTCTTGCTATGCTGTAAGTAGGCCTAGGCAACTTGTAGAGTTTATGTCTAGTCTAAGAAATTTTCTGCCTCCTGCTTCAGTGGTAACTGTCAGTTCTCTTTCTTCTTGTTTTTTGTTGCGTTTACCTTCTGATTTGCCATGCTCCACAACTGCCCACTCTGGGCAGGTAATAAGGCTTGTTCAAAGTGCATATTAATAGATGGGACCGGCTTCTAGGGAGGTTGTCTCCTATGGGGCAAACTGACAGCTCTGGTTACTCCATCGCCCTGGACTTCTCTTTTTTCTACTCTTTTCTTTTGTTGTTTATTGTTTGAATGAAATATACCCATAGTTGCAGCTATATTCTGGAAGGTTAAAATTACCATAAGGCTAGCCTCTGGAGAAGTGGAATGTTACTAGATATTTGAATAAATTCTCCTTGGGATTATTTTTCTGACAGCCCATCCTCATCGGCAATGAAGTGTGGTAGGTGGCTCAGGGCACAGACCCTGGAACTGGCTGCTGCCTTCAAACCCCAGTTTTGCCCCTGACCAGCTGCGTAACCTCTTTACACCTGCTTCTCTTCTATAAATTTGGGTAATAGTACCTTCTTCATTTGGTGTTGTGCTACTTAGGTGAATTGACACCTATTACCTGCTCAAAACAGTGCCAGATATGTGATAAGTGTTATATAAATGATTGAATAAGAGAATTAAGTACCTATGCAGTTTCCCACAGTCCAGTGTTGAAATCATTAATTCTGTCAGTCCACTAGGGGGCCTAGTTTCTGGTAGAGTGTGGCACTGAGGCACAATTACGACGATTTGAACCATAAGGGTAAGATTTTATTCCTCAAGCTCTAGCATCTTGCCTCAGTCTTTATCTGCTACCAATTCCTATCCTAATTTCTACTCTGTGCTAAGAAAGGACAGCATCGTCTCTCAGACCAACCAAAAATTTATAATAAGCAGATCAAACTTTTATAAGTCCTTTTTCCTTTTGTTAGTTTTCTCTTTTTTTATAATTGGGAAAATAACAATGTTTGCATGTAAATACCCTTTTTTTTCCAAATTTCTGTCAGGCTAGACCACACTCAGGTCTTATAAATGGTGATTTATCAACTGATTTAGGTAAGCAGTGTCAGAAAAGCATTCAAATAGGAAAGAGTAGTGAAGAGTCTACTTGAATGTCTTATTTCTCCTACATGGACTGATTTTTTTTTCACTGACCTAAAATCATTGGGAGTTTTGGTGTCACGTAGCTTGAGCTTTAATTAAAACTGAATCAGCATCAGTAAAATTTTAGAAGTGTTATGGGAAGGAAGAAGTTACAGTGCAGATGGTGAAACTATCATTAATAATAACTCTTTTACATTTTTGAAAGGCAAGTGTTAAATGTATTTGTTTTTAATTTTAAAGTGACCCAAATGAGAAATTGATAAAGTAACCTATATTTGGGAAACGATTAATAACTTGAGCCAAATCTAGCAGTTATGCCTAAAAATTTGAACTCCTTGTTAAATAGGCTAGCTAGTATCTCAAATTTCAGTAAAGAATTGTAGGATAAATGCTTGACCTTTTCGGACCCTCCTGGGAGCACATCTTTTTGTTTTGCCATGAAGGCTCATGGAGTTGGTACTGTCATTCAAAGAATTAGCCACGAATAGAGGAAAACTGAGAAAAAAAGGCACCATAAAAGCCAAAAATTAAAATAAGAAATTTGGAGGTGTGGCATTGAAAAAGAAAAAGGTACATACTACATCACAGCTTCTTAAACTCTGATTATGGACAGAATAC